AATCGTCTGCGATATTCGCCATCACCAACGCGTAAAGGTCCGTAAATCCTTCACATAATCTTTCTCTCGAAAACTCCAAGAGCCGCTTTATCAGATGCTTTCATTGGCCGTGCCTCCGCGCCATACACCTGCACAGGCATGATGAGTGACGTATAGAGTGTGATCTTTGTACGACGAGAGAGGACTTTACTTCTCAATTGCCTACTCAGCCCAAAGTAGCACTTGTTGGCAAGAGTGATTCTCCGTTGGATTTCAAGGCTGACATTATTATTGGTGTTAATGCTGGTTCCCAAATAAACGAAGTCGTCTACTTTTTCAAACTTGTAACTGTCAACAGTGACGTGGGTGCCAAGACGCGTAAGCTCTGACAGTTTGTGTGATGACAGGAGATACTTCGTTTTGTCCTTGTTCACCACCAGACCCATTCGCTTTGCTTCTCTATCCAATCCCGAGAAGGCAGAACAGACGTAGCCCTTGTTTTTTTACCGATAATATCGATGTCGTCGGCATACGCCATACGTGTTCTGATTACATTCCTTTTAAATTACTGAACTCAGGAGTTTTTTTACTCTTCACCTATTTCTTGCTAAATATGTTTCTTTTTTTGTCCGTAACCCATATTGATATACATATTTTAGTTACCTTATTCCCTTAATTAATGTGAATTCGATTTTTTAAACATGTGGCTACCCTTGCACGTGCCGTTTAGAAGTAAAGCATTTTCAAAAACATTTCAATCGATACCCATATTGTAATATCTAATTCATTTAACTTATTAAATAATTTGAATAAAATTTGGTGCAGCTGGCAACCCGGTTCAAAAAAATAAAACTTCATTGCACATCTACAGGCCAAGCGCTGTCATTTGACACCTCACTTTTGAAAACTGGACGAACTATATGTACATACCAGTGGCCTGCGCGATTATGTTAGTATCGTACGAGTACGTTATTAACTAACACTTCTGATGATTACCACGATGCCAAAGTAGCGTAGTTGCTCGACATCGCCGCATCGTCGCCTCGTACGATTACTAAAAGCATCGTCGAATAGTAAAAACATAGCAGAGTAATAATTCTGCTAATAAATTGGCAGCGCCTGCATCGTCAATAGCAGTGTGATCAGATAATCACAAAACCACATTAACTATACCTGCATACTGAATTTTTTATTTACTTCAGCATGAATTAATTCATAGTCATAGAAATTAAATATATTTCAATTTAGCAGAAACGATAGCATGAAGTAGGAGTGGGAAATAAAAAAATTAATTTAATTAATTAGTTTTCAAGACCCATTCGTTCCCGTAAGCCAAAAATATTGTATTTGTCTTAATCCACAGAATTTCCTCTTTCATTAGTGATTCTACATTGCACTGAATTTTTTAAATAGATTTTTGAAGCAATCGTATCTTTAAAATTACAAGGTCCTTTTAAAAACCCTGACATAAGAGAGAAACTCTACAAACGAAGTTTTACTATAGTTTCGTAAGTACATATTTTGATTGCTACCATTTATACCAATTTTTTTGTACCGTTTCATATTCATCAAAATGATGAAACTCTATGTAAAGTGGGGAATTTATAAAAAAAAAAATTATCTAAAATAGCTACCACGATTTAAAAGAGCTAAGAAAATAGCTAATAGCTAAACGCAAATTTCTATAGCTAAACGTCCAAAATCATACCTACAAAATACCTCAACTGGTAACACGGGAACAAAAATTCTTTTCTTTTTAATTTTCGTGTATTATAAAAAAATAACATATTCTCTAAACACGTACATTTGTTATGTAGTTTGCATTTGAATCGCTCTTCTATTTAGTGTAATTTAAAATATTTTGTTTGTCGATTCGCCAATGCATTTCAAAGAAAATTATCTGATTTATAGGCCTGCCTTTACGTCCATCAAGTTTTTTTTGTGGTCAAAAGATTGGTACAATACAGCGATGTGCTATTGAAAAATTTCAACAAACTAATTTTCGTGATTGGGATAAAGAAAAATATTTGGGTATTCACACAATTGGGATACGATTTGCACCAATTTTGGCAAATATTCAATCGTGTGACACTGCCTTTTGTATTTATACGGATGTTGGTAAAGAACGAACTATAAAAAACTAACCAAAATTAAATAACAACAAATATAATATTTTATAACTTGTGAGAGTTTTGTGCGGCTATAATTTTTTCGACTACTGAACAATGTACAAAAACAGTGCGGGTTTTCCGGCGGGATTATCAAACCTTGTACATTTTAAGACTTCTACTAAAATATTTCTGAAAAATAATAAGATTTACGTGAGCTGGACTGGTTTGAAAATACCTCTAAAATGTAGTTTTTTATGAATAAAAATAGTTTCTTAAAGGATTTTTTGGAAAAAAACCTCCCAGATGAAAAAAACAGTTTAAGCTTAAAAAATCTACATAAAAATATTAAAAAATTGTATCAACGGAATCATAATAATAAGAATTTGATGCTGTTTTTTAACTTTTTTCAAAGGTTTGGGTAAGAAAAACTTGAATAACTGCTCCAACACTTTACCGATATAGACTTATGAGGTATCAGTGGAAAGGTATTTTCTCTCCTTTTTTATTTTTTTGCAAAACAAACTTATTCACGTCCCAAAGTTTTCTTTATCAAATACCAACACATCTTAACTCAACATGGAATGACACGCGTTTATCTTACCTTCCTCTTTCATACTTTGAATGAGCTGATTTGCAAAGAAATTCAAAGGGTGAGAAAATACCTTACCAATGATACCTCATAAGTTTAAATTGGTAGGGTTTTTGGCTGAGTTATTCAAGTTTTTCTTAAACCAGTCTTTGATAAAAGTTCAAAAACAGAATCGAAAATCTCATTAATTATGATTCCGTAGAAAATTTTTTTAAAATAGTTTTATACAAATTTTTTAAGCTTAAACTGTTTAGTAATCTGAGGGAATTTTTTTTCAAAAAATTTTTAAAAAAAAACTTTTTTTTTTAATAAAAAACTCAATTTTTGGAGGTGTTTTCAAATCGGTTCAGAAATATTTTGGTAGGTCTTAAAATATAAAATATAATAGATTTCATAATTCCAGTGGAAGAATAGTACCGATTTTTTCTTGTATGGGGAATGATGCAATCTACTGTACATTCATATATAATACGCGAAGGCATTTTTTGTTCCGCATAAAAGATCTGCACCGTTCGTTCCATTTTCAAAAATGGGGTGTCAAATTAAAGCGCTTGGGCTGTAGATATGTAAACTGGTTTTATTTTTTCGAAAAGAGTTGCCACCTGTGGAACAATTAAAACCAAATTTTTCAATAATCAATACCATCAGATCCGTACCGTTCGTTCGATTTTGAAAAGTGGGGTGTCAAATTAAAGGGCTCGGGCTATAGATGTGCAATAGGGATTTAAGTTTGTATGAAAAGAGATGCCACCTTTTAAAAACTTATCTATATTCAAATTATTAAAAAAAAATATCAATTATTCAAAATGGGTATTTATCAAAATATTTTTGAAAAGCTTTGTTTTTTAACTTAACTATAGGAGGGTTGCCACCTGTTTAAAAAATAAATTCAATTTGAGTTAAGGGAAATACGTAAGAGAAAAAAGTATGTATCACCATATGGGTTCCAAACGATGTGGCTTTAAAAAAGTAATGGTTTGAAAATATTTTTAAGAAGGTTGATTGAAATGTCGAATTTAGTTAACTTATACACATATTATATGAAACATCAAAATATGAATGTCAAACGAGAGTGTGTAAAAAGTCTTTACTTTCAACGCTGTTTAAATAGTTAAATTCAAAGTATTTAATAAGTTAAATATATTATTAAAATTTGGGTTTTTATTTAAGGGGATTCAAAAATATTTATTTCTGAACTATATTTAGTGGGGTTCCCACATGTTTAGAAAATAAAACTCAACTTTATTCATCACTTAATTGAAATATGTATCGCAATGTTAGACAACGGAGCCTTAACAAGAATTTAGCTTGAAAATACTTTTCAAGAAGGCTGCCAGGTTTAATTTAATTAACTAATGCAAAATTTATGTGAGTTATATAAATAGGGGAGTCAAACGAAACAGGTAATATTTAGCCTGAACATTTGAAACGTTTGAGAAGGGCTGCACCGTGATTAAAAAGGTACATTCAAATATTTCAACAAGTTCGCCGAATTATTAAAGGATGGGTATCAATCGAAATGGGTTTGAATACTCTTCATTTCGGACCTTTATTTAGGAGGGTTCCAGCATGTTTGAACAATCAAATTCAAATTAGTTCATCTGCTACTGAAACGCACGTGTGTCACGTCAGGCGAAAGAGATGTAAGAAGATTTTAGTTTGAAATAACTTTTGAGGACTTCCACCTGCGTGAAAAGTCGAATTTAGTTAACGTTTACACTAGTTTTATGAAATATTTTGATATGGGAGTGAATCGAACGAAATTTATGAAAGCTTTAGTTTGAAAATATCTTTATTTGGGCTGGCCTCCTTTTCGAAAAAAAAAACATATCAATCTAAAAGTATATGTATGTGTATTATACGAGATGGTATTTTGTGTGATAGTCATTCGATTCATCGTTCCTTTAACTTTCAAAAATTACGGGTTCATATTAAAAAGGGGGTAGATGTGCTATAGTTTTCTTTTTTTTACTTAAGATCTTTTGTTTCGGTAAATGATTTGAAATTTGATGTAATCAAAACCCTGCACTATGAGAAACCTCTTCACTAAAAACGGCTACAGGGATTTGGATGAAATATGGCACTTTAGAGTCTTCGTAGTCTTCGTAGAATATGTATGTTTTGTTAATAACGCGAAAATAGTAACTGCTTACCTGAATAAGATTCATCCTATACTCGGCTACAGTTATTTTGCCGTTTTGTCCGTTAAGAATAGCAAAAATTCCATTTAGCAAAAATTCCACCGAGTCGAGCGTCACACATTTTTGCGATAAATTCTTCAAAGTTTCCAGAGATTCATGCCTAGTTTTATCGTTCTTGCAATACAAATTTTGCAATAGGATTTTTCCAAAAGACATCGCATATTGGCTTAAATCTATATTTAACTCAAGTAGAACTATGCTCATGGTTTTTATAGACACCTCAGGACTCCTTAAGATAGATTTATGCAAAGCCGGATAAATGCTTTCTTCAAATTCTATTTGAGTAAGTACTTGCAACAACGGTCGACATGCAAATATTAGAGTATCGTTGAGCTTCGTTTTGTTCATTATAATTCCTTTTACAAAGTGATCACGTAATTCACATTTGTACTTGCCAAAATAATCTTCACGATTAATACTTTTCTCGAATCGTACGAGAAGCATTAAAAAAATAACAATGTTGCACGAAGGTTCTTTTCCTATGGCTGTGGAAAAACATAGTTTGTATATCTCGATATTTTGCCACGAATCAAAAAATATTTTCTCTCCCATTTCTATTATACGCGTGTTACGGGAGAGGAGAATATGTTGATACAATAAGCTTTGATAATCTACTATTTTAGTGTACTCTGCTATAAAAATTTTCGAGTTGATGTCAGCAGTTTTTATTATTATATCTGTCCATCCTATAGCAATTAGAGAAAATTTTGCCGATTTCTGAGGCTGAAACGTGGTAAGATCCTTATTTATAACCGACTTTATTACTGCACAAAAATTTTCTACGGCCGCGTCATGATGGCGTTTAATAATATCCACAATCAAATTTCTTACAAGAAGTTGAGAGGGCGAATCCTTATACTTAAACAACGTTGTGCCAATAACTTTACATATCCCTTTAACAATAGCAGCATTAACTCCTAAAAATATACATGAATACATGTTTTAGGGCATAAACTACAAAAATTATACGCAATTTGCATTTCTGTTCATTATTAGGTGCATGTTTTATTTTGTATTCATACTTAGCTTACCAGGATTGTTCAAGATGGACGCAACATTACGGAACAGATCGGGCCGCTCTTCTATAGAAACTGAAAGTACTCGATTCGGTAAATCTCTTAACGCCTTCGATAACTATAAGAACATTCCATCAAATCCCAATAAACGTATAAAATTTTAATTAAAAGCAAACCTCAACATCCGCCATTTTTACTCTGTGCTTAGGAATCAAACTAGAACTGGAAAACTATCGCTGGCACTATCGATGGCTTTTAACTATCGAAAACATCGATCTTTCTTAATCGCTATCGATAGTTTTCACTCATAAATACATTAGGGTCTTTCTCTAACAATCCGGACCGGATCCGGTTATTAGGGTATAACCCAGCCAGTCAAAAGTAGTAAAAAATCTGGTGAAACCGCGCGTTTCATTCACTTCAAAACTGGTGAAAAATCTGGTGAATTTTGTATAGGCGGTGTGCAGATTTTCACCAGTTTCCCCCTGTACGCGTAAGCCTTGCATCACTGTCGCACTCATTCAGATACTTCGTAAGGAAAACATATTGTGACAAATACTGCGGCAACGCGAAGCGAACAACGAGAGATTGGCAGAATGTTCAAAGAATGATGTAGAATGTTCCACAAAGAGAAACGTCAAGTTGGATGAACACTGCGAACAGCGAGAGAAAGAGAATGAGCGATAAACTTCAGAACGTTCTAGAGTTGCCATAAGTACGAGAGCAGGTATTTAAGGGCGCCGCCACAGCGAAGTGGGTCAGTTACAAGTCAGCATTCCCACGACAGCCGGTTCTACGTACCGGAATGACTCGGGTTTTACCCGACCAAGGGCTGTTGTTTCGGCGATCTAACCCCGTCTAGATCGGCGATACCCACCAATCATTATTCGTCCATGGAGCAATACCTTGCAGCCGGATTGCTCCGCATCCTTCTTCTCCGGGCGGGCGTACAGCCCAACCCCGGACCTGAAATTTACTTCTGCTGTGTTTGCCAGAATCGACTCCACCCGAACTCCACTTCGGTTAGGTGCAACTCCTGCAACGGATGGAGTCACCTAAGAACCTGCTCTGGCCTTAGGTCTCACCGGGAGTGGACCACAAACTTTGTGGCTCCCTGTTGCTCAAGCCAAATGGCACAATCAGCCTCCACGGCTACCCACTCGCGTAACGCACGGGTGCGACCTAGCACCCGAAGAGCATGCACGGCCCCCAGAAGCTCCCCTGAGCAACAGCAAACCTCCCAACACACCCCACCCACACAACCTACCGGCCGGTCCCACTCGCGAGCGCGAGCCAACCAGCAGCTACTGGTTGCCCACACCATCTGCTCCGTGTGCCAGAACAGAATATACCGGAATGTGACATCAATCAAATGCAACACATGCCTTGGCTGGTGCCACTTCCGGCTATATTCTGGTCTACGCACCACGCGCGAGTGGACTACCAACTACAGCGCCCCTTGCTGTAGTGCACCGCCGGCGCAGACAACAACGCCCACATCGCAGCCACCTACCATCAGGCTGCAACAGTAACTGAGTCAGGCGCAACAGGCCCAAGGTAAGCCCCACACTTCCCTCACTCCCCGTATCGCGACCAGCTTCCCAAGGCATACGAATGTACTCCAACTCAACTGCAACGGACTACAGAGCAAGATTGAGGAGATAGCAGTCTTCATGGGTCGGCACGGCATATTGATAGCTGCGGTCCAAGAAACGAAGTTGCACAGCAACTCAACTCTGTTGGGTTGCGCCGCCTACAATGTGCTCCGTAAAGATCGCGAGCGAGATAATGGTGGAGGATTAGCGTTCATTCTACACCACACAGTGCAGTATCGGCTAATCGAAGAAGACATCGACCCAAGGGACACTACCCTAGAATGTCAGGGCATAGCTGTCCGGTCAGGCGATGTCGAGCTCGAAATATTTAACGTGTACATACCCCCTGTCACCTGCTGCCCGGCTGGATATCTCCCTGACATAGGTGCGCTACTCAGAGGCGAAAACCGACTGGTAGTAGGTGACTTCAATGCGCACCACGATCTTTGGCATTCAAGCCTGGCCAATTATCGGAGGGGAAACATTTTGGCTCAGCGGATAGACGATTCGACATTCTGCACCATGAACGACGACGCCCACACCAGGATTGTGGGCAGCTGCAGCAGCTCGCCAGACCTAACAATTGCTAGCACTGGTCTGATAAATAGCATATCATGGCGACCTATGCTATCGTTAGCATCAGACCATCTGCGCATAATCATCTCGATCAATAAGCCCACCGACTTTGCTCCCGCGGATCACCGAACCTACACCAACTTTAACAAAGCTGAGCAAATGAGCGTGACCACCTACGCCAGGTCGACCCCGGGGACCCTCGCTTGAGGGACCTTAATTTGGACGGCAACTGGTAAATCAACATAAGCGGAAAAAGTGGGAAGAGCACTTGAAGGCCTGTAACTTCACCTATGGTGTGAGTAAGCTCTGGTCAACCGTGAGGTCCTTGTCCAACCCGACGAAGCGTGATGACAGAGTGGAAATCTCATTCGAAGGTCACGCCTCATCGGACCCGAAGAAATGCGCGAACTATTTTAGTCGGCAATTCACACTGCATCCTTCGGTAGACAAGGCCAAACGTCGAGTGACCAGCAGGCTGCACAAACTGCCCAAAAACAGTGCACCACTTGTTTTCACCAGCGGTGAAGTGAAGGGGGCCATCGGGAAGGCGAAAGCCTCCAAAGCCATTGGACCCGACGGAATCTGTATGCTGATGTTGAAACATTTGGGGCCTGTGGGAGTAGCATACCTCACGGAGGTCCTCAATTTGTCTATGACCACTCTCATCATTCCTGATGTGTGGAAATCAGGGAGAGTGGTCCCACTGCTGAAACCGGGGAAGCCCGCCAACAGAGGAGACTCTTATCGCCCATAACGCTCCTTTCCCTGGTCGCGAAGACACTTGAGGCCCTGCTGCTCCCATACTTCACCTGCCACCTAACCCCAGCGAAACATCAGCATGGCTTCCTTAAAGTGCACAGCACAACAACAGCACTTAACGCCATAAACACCCAGATAACTCGTGGCCTAAATCGCAACCGCCCCTGTGAGAGAACTGTCCTAGTAGCGTTGGACTTGTCAAAGGCGTTTGACACCGTCTGCCATTCCACGCTGCTAGAAGACATTGAGGCCTCCTCTCTCCCACAGGGACTGAAGCGATGGTCGGCGAATTATATGAGTGGTCGACAATCATCAGTAATCTTCAGAGATCAAACCTCGAAACCAAGAAGAATAAAACAAGGGGTTCCACAAGGTGGTGTTTTCTCCCCCTTACTTTTTAACTTCTACATCTCGAAACTCTCCCAGCCTCCTGAAGGAGTTTCCCTGATCTCGTACGCTGATGATTGTTCGATTTTGGCGTCCGGGAATGGAACTGATGACCTCTGCTCAAAAGTAAACGGTTATCTCTCCAGCCTTTCTCGCTTCTTCACTGCAAGGAGCCTAACCCTCTCCCCAACGAAATCAACGGCGACCCTCTTCACCACCTGGACGAAGGAGGTCAGGCTAGAATTAGGCATTCACGTCGACGGCACACCTATACCGACGGTGAACAACCCAAAAATTTTAGGGGTTACCTTTGATAGCCTGCTCTCCTTCTCCGCGCACACAACCGCAGTTGTCAACAAAGTACAGAGCCGCAACAAGGTCCTCAAGTCGCTCGCCGGCTGCACTTGGGGCAAAGACAAAGAAACGTTGCTGGTAACATACAAGGCAATTGGCCGGCCGGTTCTAAATTATGCAGCGCCTTATGCAGACTTGTCAGAACGCCGCACTCCGGACAGCGACTGGGTGCCTTCTGATGACGCCTGAGCACTACCTACACAGCGAGGCCCAAGTGCTCCCTGTACGGGAACACAATAAAATGCTCAGTAAGCAGTTTCTGGTGGGGTGTCACAGAAGCGAACACCCTAACAGACCACTGCTGGAGGAGGAGCCTCCGCCCAGGCACGTCAGGGGGCACCTATTCATGTACAAGGACGCAGTCCAGACCTACACAGACCAACCACTGGACCCAATGACGTACAGACGAGCGATTAACGACATTCATAGGGAGTCTGTCTCCACCTACCTCGACTCCCGGCCTAGGAATGTCGTTATCGGAGCCCAATCACCACCTGTGGAAGAGACGGAGCTTCAGTTACCTAGAGAGACCCGCGTTACCCTGGCTCAGTTACGGTCTGGATATTGTAGCCGCCTAAACAGCTACCAGTCCAGACTCGACCCAATGAGTGCCCGGCATGTGANAATCCGACTCAACTAACACCCCTCTCCCTTTGGTCCGACCCCATCGAAACAGCTCGTTTCCTGGGCCTACCGTTAGTTTAGCTCGACGATAATGATTAAAAAGTTGACCCGAAACAGGCGGGGCTTAGTAGTGCCGCTACAACAACAACAGTTACAAGTCAGCAAGCTACAAGTAAAGTGAGCGGAGAAGTGAGTTGCGAATAAGCAAGCTATAAGTTTAATTGTGTTAAAAAGTAGTAAAGCGTTGTTATTGCTTTAACAAGTATTGTAAAGTGTTTTTACTGTATTAGCAAGTATTGTAAATTTTTGTTGTACAATAAAGTTAATTGTACTGCAATTTGGTCATCGTTAGCATTTATTTAACAATCCAGCGATACGAGCCCGAGTATATTTGGGAAATCCCTCAAGGGCCATTCACATACAACTTTCCTCGCTTGGCTTGACAGTTCAAACTTTGACAACAAAGCGTGAAACGCAGAAGGTATGCTACAATAAACGCTTTGACAGTTTTTGCATTCTCCTTTTCCTCCATATTTTTTATCTGTAAAATAGATAACTAGATAATAATATGCATTAATAATAGCAATAAAAATTACTATTTACCCTATTTTTGTCATTAAATGCCAATGCAAGCGCACGAGAAAAGATACATGTAGGCAGCTGATTGCCAAAGCGGGCAAAAGTTGAGAATTGCCCAAGATTTTGCTTCGTTTCGCTTTGCTTTGCTTCAAACGTTTTTTATGTGAGCATACTCATGCATATGCCTACATCGGTCTTATATGTCAAAGCAAAGAACTATCAAGCTAAGCGAAGAAAGTTGTATGTGAATCAGCCTTCAAGGTTTGGTGGATAATCGTAACAACTGGTGTCAGAAGTGGGATTGTTAAATAAATCCCGAAGGATGAACTACTGAAAATGGCGAAAATTCAGGATCTAAAGATTGAGGAACTCAAGCAGGAGTTGGAGAAACGAAATTTAGCAACCTCCGGAAGAAACGTGGAATTACTATCACGGCTGCGAGAGGCTATGGAAAAGGAAGGTATCGACGTTGATAAATACGACTTCCATCGTGAGGACTACGCGACATCAACGAAGGACGAACAGAAGGATGAAGCTGCTTGTTCGTCGAAGGATGTGCAGCAGACATCCGGGAAGGTTGAAGAACAGCAAAAGACTCCTAGTTCATCAACAGTTATGGACATGAACACATTATTAGCCGCCATGTCCCAGATGTCATCACCGCTGGAAGCCGAGAAAATGTACATGTCATCGCAGCTAGATGAAAAGATTACTCAGCTAGAGCAGAATTTATTCAAAGATAATGCGGAACTCAGAGAGAGACAGGATAAAATCGAGGAGCGGCAAGACAAAATCGAAGAGCTAATTAAGGAGAAAGTTGAGGCTAAGGTAGAAGAATTGGAAGGTCGTCTCCGAGATATGCAGTTGAATCGTCCACCTTCTTCGACCAGCGCCAACAAGGTGAAGACTCCATCCTTTGACGGCACGATTCCTTTCCAAGTCTTTAAGCTCCAGTTCGAAAAGACGGCTACAGCAAACAACTGGAGCATGGACGATAAATCCGCTGCTCTGTTCGTGGCATTAAAATGACCTGCAGCGGAAATATTGCAGACTATTCCCGACTGTGAAAGGAACAATTACGATGCCTTAATGGGTGCAGTGGAAAGACGTTATGGTAGCGAGCACAGCAGACAGATTTACCAGATGGAGCTGGAGAATCGCTGCCAGAAATCCAACGAGACTCTACAGGAATTCGTCTCCGAGGTTGAAAGGTTGGCTCATTTGGCAATTGGAGATGCATCTGGTGAGCACCTCGAAAGAGTAAAAATCCAGAGGTTCATCAACGGAATGCGGGACGTGTATACCAAGCGAGGGACGTACGCGAATCCAAAGCCAACATTTGCTGAAACTGTCTCGTATGCTCAGACGCGTGAAACGGCGGCGCTCCTAAGTAGACCAGCCTACAAAGTACATCGCGTGGAAGTGGAAACACCGGAAGAGACAATTGAAATGCTGAAGAAGATTATCCAACTTCTGGGCGAGAAAAAGCATGGCTCTGGCAAATGTTTTAAAATTGGCCGGAATGCGAGCAACCTCACTATTGGTGGATGTGTGCTGGGCAGGAGAGAGTACTGACAGTGGATACTGGAGCGAGACATTCCATTATTCGACCGGATTTGGCCACTTTTTATGTGAAGCCACTACCTGGAGCAAAGCTGCAGACTGCAACTGGTGAATGCACCCAAGTGTTAGGAGAAGTACCATGCGAGGTAATAATCGACGGTTGGGCCTCGTACACTAAGTTTATACTGGCAGACATTCTGGATGAAGTCATCATCGGCGTGGATTTCTTACTTGGTCAAGGCATGAAGATTGACCTCCAGAGAATGATCCTGACAGATCGTCACAGGAAAGTTCCACTTAGGGTTGGTTACGACCGCCAGTACTGCAGCAGACGGTTAGTCTTAGAGGAAGTGTCGAAAATTCCACCAGAAACGGAAGCGGTTAGTTGGGCGGAGGTTGGCAGTGATGGAGACGGAGTGGTTTCGTCAGGAGAAGGAAGTGGTTCACCGATACAGGAAAAGCGTGACGGTTCCGCCGGCTCAGTGAAGAAGGGGTCGCAGCAAGGAAGTGGTCATGGTAAGCCAGGCAGTGTTTCCGGCAGGAGGAAAGCCGCTAAACCACGTTGCAATGGTGATAAGCGGCTGTGGAAGCAGTAGGCGCGCTTTGAAGTGTCCCGAAAAAGGTGGTCGGCAAAGGCGAGCAGTTAAGCCGGAAGCCAAGGGCGAGATTATACATGTCCGGTCAATGAAGTTAGCATCGGCGGGAGTGCGAGATACGGTGTACCTATAGAGCTGCACTCTGACCAGGGAAGAAATTTTGAATCGGCGGTGTTCCAAGAGATGTGCCAGATACTGAGTATCCGGAAAACTCAAACAACGGCTCTTCATCCCCAATCAGATGGCATGGTGGAGCGGTTCAACCGAACCCTGGAAGAGCATTTGCGGAAGGTCGTGGACAGAACTCAGAAAGATTGGGATGTCCGCATACCCCTGTTCCTGATGGGATACCGGTCAGCAGTGCATGAAGCAACAGGTAAAACTCCTGCAAGGGTAATCTTCGGCAGTGAGCTCCGTTTGCCTAGTGACCTGAAGTGTGGAGTAACTGGCGATGCTAGGAGAATTGGGAAAGAGACGTCCAACATCCTGGAAGAGGAGTTAAGAGAAATACATGCTCTTGTGAGGCAGCGAACTCAAATTATGAGTGACAAGATGAAGGCCAGATATGATAAGGCAATGAACTCCGAGGGTTTCCAAGAGGGAGACTTAGGGCCGGTTACTCAATGTCTGGTTAACACTAATCTCCGGTAAAACATCGTTACCGACGTTACCGACTCCATGTTATATGCATGGAGCCGAACACGTCGATAATGATGTTTAAACGGAGATTAGTGTTAACCAGACATTGAGTAACCGGCCCTTAGTGTTGCTGTACAATCCACAATGGAAGAAAGGTTTGTCACCAAAACTACAATGCAACTGGGAAGGTCCGTATAAGGTCGTCAAACGGCTGAATGACGTACTGTATAGAATCCAAACCGTTGGGAGACCAAGAAACAAGCTGAAGGTGGTCCACTTGGAAAGGCTTGCAGCGTTTGGAACAGCAGGTGTGTCTGATCGGGACGATCAGACTTAGGTGGAGGGCAGTGTGACGAATACTCCGGCAGCGCGAAGCGAACAACGAAAAATGGGCAGAATGTTCGTGGAATGACGTAGAATGTTCCACAAAGAGAAAGCTATAAGTTTAATTGTGTTAACAATTAGTAAAGCATTGTTATTGCTATACCAAGTATTGTAAAGTGTTTTTACTGTATTAGCAAGTATTATAAATTGTTTGTTGTACAATAAAGTTAATTGTACTACAATTTGGTCATCGTTAGCATTTATTTAACAATCCAGCGATACGAGCCCGAGTATATTTGGGAAATCCCTCAAGGTTCCGAGGATAATCGTAACAGTGGCGCATATTCATAGTCATATTTAGTACTCAACTAAGTCGAAACTATTCTAAGTCACAACTAAAGCTATTCATAGTCGTCTTAGTTTCGACTTTTATGGCTAAGTACCAACTTAAAATTTAGTTTCGCCCTGCAAAAATCGTTGGACCATGTAGTCTATTTGTGGTATATTGGAGTACTTACAAAAGTGCTCCTCTGTCATGCTGTAGCGGACCAACTCGTGTCTCTGCACCAGCTTATTGTTACCCGANAGAGGGTGATTTTGATAATATTGAATAATCTCCAATTAAAATTTACAAAGATCGATCCATTTTAATCGGAAGATGAAATTAAATGCGTATTACAATTCGAATAAAGCTACATCACAATTTTATAATTGGAATAATTTAGATAAATTTTCAAATAATAAGTCAGTTTCACGCTAGTTCTTTTAAAGTAAATTTGAGCATAACATTTAGATATCTACTATTTGTATGTTTCACAGCATGCTTTCGACAAACATCGACTTCACATCACTGCAGTTGTTCTGGCTATTTCACACAATTAACAAGAAAATGATACCTTATTCTTTTGCATAATCATGCAATGAAAATAAAAATTACATACACGGATGATCAAACTTGCTATTATTTAATAAAAATGTAATTTTTCCAAAATATCGTAAAGAAAAATCGATACATTTTAACACTTGTTTTTCTATATCGTAAACTAAGTCGAAACTACTTAGTTGAAGTCTGAAATGCGACTATGAATAGAGGTAAATTTTAAGTTGGTACTGAAATTTAAGTTGCAACTGTCAGAATGGGTCGCTGAATGGCTTGTAAGAATTGTTCGCTTGTATAAATAAAAACTGAGCACTTTGATTTTCAGGATTTCATTTAATGAAAATAGTGTTTAAGATCATGAAAAATGATTATTTAAATTATAAAATTATTTGCTTAGCTTCTAGTGAGTTCATAGAACGGCTTTTCGAACGCGACTCCCCTGTAGGGACACGAATTTCGATACGATACGATACCATATCGATGCTTTTGGCATTGGATACCGATATTTTCTACTCGATAGTTTTTCATTCCCACGACAGCCGGTTCTACGTACCGGAATGACTCGGGTTTCACCCGCGAAGGGCTGTTGTTTCGGCGATCTAACCCCGTTTAGGTCGGCGAAGTATCTCAGAAGTTGTCCGTCCATAGGGCTACATTCACTACGTATTCTCCTACTCAGGGCTGGCATCGAGTCAAACCCTGGGCCAGAAACATACACCTGCTGTGTATGCCGGAGACGATTACACCACAACTCCACCTCAGTCAAGTGTAATGC